AATAATAATAATAACAATAATAATAATAATAATAATAATAATAATAATAATAATAATAATAATAATAATAATAATAATAATAATAATAATAATAATATATAGGGAAACAAAGAAACAAATGGTATTACGTGGCAACACAAAGGAAAAAGTCAATTCCAATGTCAAAAGGCTTGTTGTGTATACTCGATGCCACGTGTAATTATTTTATTCGTATTTATGATTTACAATTCAAAATACATATAACAGCGGACCCAATTTTTTTTTTTTGGTTTAGGATTGGAAATTAATGGTAGAGAGTGAATAGTCGGATAAAAACAAATTTACTGTGGAAATACTTATATTCATGTGTGTGGGAGATTCTCACACACACATATATATATGTATATATATTATTTGATAATTCTTAATACATATTATAATATAAAATTATAGAGTTATATAACTTTTCAAATCAAGAATATGGAGTGTATTAAGAAACTTAGTGTTTCATAAATGTAAAATCCTAATTAAATCCACCGAATCAATTCATCAGGAGGAAGCCGAGCAAATTCTGAAACTTCTGATCTACCTAGAGTCTCTACAGGAATTTCTAGGGTTTCAGCAAACCGTTCCTAAATCTAACTCTAGAGTGAGTGAGAGAAGCAAGGGTAGCCTTTTCTATATACAAAATCGAGAAAATTCCCTCGACGGTCGATCGATTCTAAGGTCCGCCATTGATCATCATCTTCTTGAACTCCTCGAAGTTGACGTGACCGTCGCCGTCGGTGTCGACCTTGCTGATCATCCTCGCGCAATCCCTGACGGAGCATTTCTCCCCCAATCGCTTCATCACCGCGTGAAGCTCGCTCGCGGAGATCAGTCCGTTCCCGTCCAGGTCGTACATGTCGAACGCGTCCTTCAGATCCTTCACGTCGTTGCCGTTACCGTTGTTCTTACCGTCTCCGCCGCGATTCTGGTCTCCGATTTGGAAGTGAGCGACGAACTCGTCCATATCGATGAAGCCGTTTCCGTCGCGATCGAGCTCCTTCATCATACGCGCCGCCTCCTCCGGTGTCGCCGAGGGGCTGAGGGCGCGGATCACGTCCTTGAGTTCGTCGCCCGAGATCTTCCCGTCGCCGTTCTTGTCGAAGCGCTGAAACACCTCACGGATTTCTGCCATGGATCCTAAGGAGCTTCGATCTGATCCCTTCTTCGCCATCGCCATAGAGAGAGAGAGAGAGAGAGAGAGAAACTTTGAACAAATTTGAAAGTGAGAAAGCACGAGAGGTTAGTTTAGGTATAAATAGGGAGAAGACGAGTGATGGAAATAACGCGGTTTTCACGCGCTAACATTGCATGAGTTAAAGAGCCTATCCTCCCCACGCTCGTTATAAATATTTTACGGAAACAAAAAGGTTTCACATTATTCATTTTCCTTAAAGCAAAGTTCACATGATTTTAGGTTGGAAAAAAAAAAGCCACTACGCTACACGGTCCTCATAAATTCATAATATTGTGCCGTTGCAATAGTTATTATATACGAGATGTAAGCTGTGTATATATATATATATATAGATTTTATATGTATATTCTTGAAAAAAGAAAGTGCGTGTGTTTATAATATATAGTTTATAGGCATTCAACGGTAATAAATACTCCATCCGTTTCAAAATATTTGTAGTTTTAGGTTATTTTCTATATTTCAAAATATTTGTCATTCTATATTTTCAAAACATTTTTTACAATAGTTTTCAATTTTATTTCTATTAAATTCTAATAATAAATTATTAATTCTAATAATAAATTATTAATGATAACATTGTTTTTATCATTAAATAAGGGTATATGTGACTTTTTCTTAAAAACTGTGAAATAAACTAAAATAATAATTATTTTGAAACGGATGGAGTAATATCTAAAAAAATGGCATACGCTATGAACATGAATACACTAATGAGAGATGATAATTTGTTGGGTTGCCAAAAAAAAAAGGTCATAAGAAAATATAACTTGCAAGTTCGGGATTGGACTTTCTCTCTATTCGACGAAAAAAAAAGAGTAATTTAATTTGTCATAGAACCCAAAGTAAAATGGGTTATTTGCTAAATGTGTAAAAATTTAATTTGGAAAGTGTGCCCAAACCAAAAGCAACTACACTTTTGTGATTTAGATTATTTTTTTTTCAAACATCAACGATATCCTTAAATACATGTGTGTGTGTATATATATATATCATTTTTCATTTTTTGTCAAACTTTTCTTCCAACATTAGTTTTTCTCTCTTTAAACTTTTCTTTTTTTCAGCATATATATATATATATATGTATATATATATATATATATATTTTCTTCTTTATTTCATGTCTCTTTTAGATTTTCTTTAAATATTTCTTTTCATTTTAATGTATATATGAATATATCTATGTGGTAACGCAAAGTATGATCAGAGATTTCCTGAATTTTTTTCAATAAAAAATATTTAAAGCGAAAAAATAAATCAATTAAGACCTTTGTCGGGAGGAAAAAAAAATCAAAACCTTAATTTTTCTCAAATCAAATTTGGAATGTCAAGAATTATATATATTATCAAATCAAATGCAAAATGTAAATTCACTTATAATCTTTATCACACACACATATACTGAGAATACACACGCATTTTATAAGTTCATATATTAGGTTTCTTAAAATATATTTTTAAAATATATTTTTAGTTAATTTCTTTAATTTTTAGAATAAATATTTTTTAAAAGAATTTCAACTTTTTAAAATATTTTTGAAATAAAAATTTAAATAAAGACAATTTTACATCTTTTAATTTTAGGGATAATTTCTAAGAAACTCTAAATTTACTAAAATATATAACAAAGATTGTGAATTTACAAACTTCCAAAATAATATATTTATTTGTCAACTTTTTAAAAAAACAATAAACTCATTGACCAAATCAACCGAATCTTTAAGATGCCATGTGGTGCGCCGGATTTCTAACATAAGATTGACGTCAATGTCACATAAAATAAAAATTAAAAAAAAAAAACATGCATACATACATACATACATACACACACACAACTATACATATACATATGTAGGGAATCAAGTTTGAAATTTTATTTAATTCTATTAATATTTAGGAAAATTGTCAAAAAAAATCTGCAATTTAGAGATAACTAGTTTCATCGAACTTTTAAAATGTTCATATGCGTAATAAATTTGAGATTTTTTTTTAAAAAATTATTCAAAACTTGAATTTTTAACAAAATTTTCATAGGAATCGAATTAATTTTGACACATAGACAAAAAATGCTACGTAACGCTTACGTGACATGTACTAACTCGCCACGTACGATACACGTCAGATTAATAGTAAAAAATTATAAAAAAAATTATAAAAGATTGTAAAAAAATTTTAAAAATTTTAAAAATTGTTAAAATTACAAAAAATTGTAAAATTGAAAAAATTGTAAAAATATAAAAACATTGTAAAACAAATTGTAAACATTGTAAAACAATTGTAAAAATGTAAAGAAATTGTAAAAAAATGTAAACAAATTATAAAAAAATTTAAAATTGTAATACAATTGTAAAAATTGTAAAAAAATTGTAATAAAAACTTGTAAAAATTATATATATATAAATATAATTGGTGGGGTGATATATATGAAAGAAATGGAAATTTGAAAAACCAATTTTATAAAAAAATTGTAAAAATTGGGATGGAGTAGAGATTTTTAAATCGGTTTTTAAATCGGGTTTATAATTGTTTTACAATTTTTTACAATTTTTTAAGATTTTTTAAGATTTATTTTATAATTTTTTACGATTTTTACAATTTTTGAAAATTTTGAAATTTTTTACAATTTGTTATAATTTCTTTACATTTTTTATAATTTTTTATAATTTTTTACAATTTTTTACAATTTTTATTTACAATTTTTTACTATTAATCTGATGTGTATTCTACATTGCAAGTTAGTACATGCTACATAAGTGTTACGTAAACGCTTTATGTCTACATGTCAAAATTAATTCGGTTTCGATGAAAATTTTGTTAAAAATTTAAATTCTAAATAATTGTTTAGAAAAAAAAATTCAAATTCAATATAAATATGAACATTTTAAAAGTTCGTCATGAATATGCTAGTTATATCTAAATTGAATATTTTTTTTAGAAATTTCTCTAATATTTAATCTTGTAGATTAAAACCGACAATATTTTGCACTACGTTTTGTCGTTTTCATACTTTAAATACATTCTAATATATATATATATATATATATATATATATATATCCACTGGGTGTATTTGACTTTTTTCCAGAAAAAATGTGGTTTGATATATTTGACTTTACAAAAAAAAACTCATTCATATTATGGCCAAAATCATGTGGTAAACACTAAACAGTCCATTGAAGACTTTAAGGAAAAAAAATAAAACCAGTTTTAAAAGAGAAAAAAAAAAGAAGAAAAGGTCCAGAATTTTCTGGAATCCAAAAAAGCTACGGGAATATTACTCAAATAACCCACTTGGGTCGCAGCAATTTCAGTGTACACCACCGAAAAAAAAAAAAAAATTGCGACCTTATTACGACTAATATATAACTAATATACAACTTATTACGACTAATAAACTACTCTTATTTTAGTTGTATATTAGTTATATATTAGTCGTAATAAGGTCGCAAATTTTTTTTTTTTTTTTCGGTGGTGTACCCTGAAATTGCTGCGACCCAAGTGGGTTATTAGGGTTAAAACCCCAAAAGCTACCCCTACAATTATCACATGAAGTTCAATTAGAATGTGGACCTAGCATGGCCCCAACCAAAAATTTTAATACGAAAAATTTAATTGAAAATTTCATATTTCTGCAACCAGACCAGAAATCCACAGATGAACAAGAAAAAGCATAGCCATTAAGTAGCATAATCAACCGACCATTTCATGCAAATACTTTTGATAACTCCTAAGAAGCTTCAAAACAAAAAAACAAAGAGAGGAAGAATCCGTTGATAGATGATGATGATGATAATAAAGTCAAGACCTTGGGAATAATTTAGAGTCTGATGCTCTCTCATCACTTAGCCATCATGATCTTGACGAACTCTTCGTAGTTGATCTGACCGTCCCCGTCTACATCTGCCTCACGTATCATCTCGTCCACTTCCTCGTCCGTGAGCTTCTCCCCGAGATTCGTCATGACATGACGCAGCTCCGCGGCAGAGATGAAGCCGTTCTGGTCCTTGTCGAAGACCCTGAAGGCTTCCTTGAGTTCTTCCTCGGAGTCGGTGTCTTTCATCTTACGAGCCATTAGGTTTAGGAACTCGGGAAAGTCGATGGTCCCGTTCCCGTCTGCGTCAACTTCATTGATCATGTCTTGGAGCTCGGCTTCTGTTGGGTTCTGCCCGAGGGAGCGCATCACTGTTCCCAGCTCCTTGGTGGTGATGCAGCCTGTGTAAATTACAGTAACGTACGGCTTTGTATAAGATAGAGAGCAAAAAAGGATGAGATTTCTCAAGACAGATATAGATCGATATGCGGCGGAAAGTGATTTCAACATATTTGTTGAAACTCTTCATGAGAAATGGAATACATTTCAATGTCCACTAACAGTATATGTAAGAAAAATGATGGTATCTATAAAAGTGCATTTGGCATTTGCTATCAGTCAAAGAATATCTTGCATCGCCAAAAGTGAAAACTTTCATAAGGAGAAGCCTTAACAATAGAATTCGTGGGTAGGAGCTGAACATATAGAACGGGCTAGCTTCTGCTTTAAACTGCAAGGTAAATGAAGATTTCTATGGACAAGATTACTACAACGACAACAACCACAACAACAGCGCATTAATCCCAAGTTTATTTGGTCAACGCACATGATTATTACCGTTGAAGAAAACAGAAAGTGAAAGGACATGAGCTCTGGTTTTCACATGAAAGAAACCAGCTTGATGCAAACTTTACACAGATATAGATTCGATATGAAACCTATATTGCCCATTCCCTAGTTGGAGAAGGAACCCAAAGGGGACTCGGATGTACACCGACTTCACCAAAAAGGCCATGGACACTTCACCATTTCGTAATAACACGCAGAAACATATGCGTAAAACAATTAGAGAAGTTAAAAACATATTAGGCGTTAGATGAAACTCAGCATCGATCACTTGTGCAAATATAGAGGGAAATCAAGCTACCATCATTTTGGGGTGACAGAGAGTATCCAAAGATATGGAGAAACACTGATCAAAGCTTATCGGATCACCAGACCGATAAACCGAGGAAGCACGATATCGAACACGAAACCAATCGATTCAAAAACATGCAAAAAGATGAAGCAACAAAGACAGGTAACGAAAAATCAAAGGTAACAACCATCAATTGAAACGACATAAGTACTCAGTCAAAAGCCAAAACCACAAAATCATAGCCTAAACATGATCGATAACGGCGAATTCGAACCGAAACCCTCAAACGAAATGGAAGAACCTCGATCTCACCGAAAATCATGACATAAGAGGCAAATATCTCCGAATCGGAGGCCGGAGACAACGTTTAAACTGGTAGAAAACAACGAACAAAGACCAGACCGGAACAACGAAACATAGATACGAGATTCAGATTCGAAGAGCAAACAAATGGAAAAAGCAGAGAGGAAGAGGGAGCGAACCATCGCCGTCCTTGTCAAAGAGGCTAAAAGCCTCCTTGAACTCGGAGATCTGGTCATCGGTGAGCTGGTCCGCCATAGTTGCAGGTTGCGTCGTCCGTCGTTGAGAATTCGCCTTCCTTGTAATTCTTCACAAACGATTAAATGTTCGTCGCTCCTTTTGGCTTCTGTGACCAAAATATCTAAGCAGCGGACAAAAATTAATAAATAAATAAGAAGTTAAAAAAGAAAAAAGAAAAAAGAAAAGAGGAAAAAGCGGATTAGCCAATCAGTGAGAGGGAAGATATGCTTAACTTGGAACATCTTTCACCTTCTTTTTTTTTTCATTTTTATTAATATAGTTACATCTAAATGCATATTATTCGAATAAAAAAAGAAAATAAAATTATAAAATTGTAAAATATATAAATACAAAATAACTCAAAATAGCAAAAGACAAGTATTTCACCTATATAAATATCTTACATTTGGTCATTATGGATAGAACAAATTAACAATAAACCACACAAATCTATTCCTAAGGGCAACTACTCTACTTCGGTTAACTTCGGTAACCGATCAAACCGGAAAATTAAAAACCTAAACCGGTTTTCTCATTTGGGAAAACTCGCTCATGACCATTGACCATTTACTAAGACTCAGAACAAATCAGTGATCAAACTACAGACTCTGTCTGAATCTTAAACCTATCTACACTTCTCCCAAAACTTTCAACTAGAAATCATCCAAGTTTTCCCCAGACTTGTCTGAAGATTTTACCTTCCGTACAAATGATCTTCGTCTTCAAACTCTGTAACTCCGACCATGGCGAGAGCCAGATAACCCTTCATCTCGGATTTCGTCTGCTTCAATTGCGTGTAACTGTCGATCATGCCCGGAAGATTGTTTTTTTTCAGACATGAGTTCGTTCCCTGTTCCAATCCTTCTTCGCCTTTGAGAATCGAGACAATCTCTTCCATCCCGGGTCTTCGCGACTCTTCCTTGATCACACACGAGGCAGCAGCTCTGATCATTCGGTTTATCAGAACAGAGCTTTTTCGTGTACGTTTCACCAGTGGATCGAGCAGTTCCTCCGTAGCTTCCATCCCTCTATGCAACAACGGTTTCGCCTGCGGGAAAACAAAACCGCAAAATGTATAACTTTTCCAAGAGCCGGTCAAGAGTGAATCCGTGAACAGAATCACCGATATAAGCGGACGGAAAACTATTTCGGGCGAATGTCTATGGGACAAGGATATGTTAAAACCGTATTTTCTCATTTCTTGCACTCACAGTTCTAGTTATAGAGATAGATGCTTGTAATAACGTACCCATGCGACCAAATTTTCTTCCCCGGGTGGCCTCTTGGCTTCGATAGGCTTCCGTCCTGTTAGTAGCTCAAGCAACACGACCCCAAAGGCGTAAACATCGGTCTTATCAGATATTTTTCCGTGTTGGAAATACTCGGGAGCCAAATAACTGCAAAAAAAAAAAAGGTTTCGAACTTAGCATGTAAATCACTAGGAATTTCAATGAATCAAAGGAAATGCTTGCGACTGGAGTTTTGTTAGGATATCATACCCGAATGTGCCTTTGACGGTCTTGCAGAGGAAAGGAACCGAAGCTCCAGCCGTCCATGTAGCCAATCCAAAATCACATAACTGATAACCCCAACCAGAAAGAAACGTTCTTATGTTTGAACAATTTTTCTCAAAGGATTTTGATTATTCACTAAGTTTGATGTCTTTACCTTAGGCTTCTTCTTTGATGAAAGAAGGATATTTGAAGGCTTGATATCTCTATGTACAACACATCGGTCTGTCCCATTATGCAAATACGCTATAGCATTCGCTATCCCTAACCCGATCTTGTACCTTGCCGACCAGGGAAGACCCGAGGATCTCTTTATGCCCTTTTTCTTCTTATCTGTTAGATCGCCAAGTCGGTTCATAGTTCGTTCTTTCGAAAGAACGGACATATCGAGAAAAGGAAGGAGAGTTTAACAGCTACCTTACCTTTAAAGAGGAAATTACCGTGTAAATAATGCTCGAGGCTGCCACCCGAAACATACTTGTGCACCAAGAAAAGACCTTCGGGATCGATACAGAACCCTAGAAGAGGAACAATGTTAGGGTTGTGGAGAGAGCTGGCAATCATCAATTCTCTGCAAAATGACTTTGGTGTTTCTCTGTCTTCCTTATTCAGTCTCTTGATGGCCACCGACGTTAGCCAAATTCCGATTCTGCCCCTGAAGACATAGCTGCAAGCTCCTCTTCCCAGCACTCTCCCTGACCATTTCCAACAGGGTAAAGCTCAAGAACAAGGAAACAAAGGCGCCAACTTTGCCTATTCAATCCACACTAAGACGTATGAACAATCCATTCCGAGCGGACACAGCGAAATTCCGACATATGAACTCAGAAACAACATAATGATCTTGTACAGAAGAACAGATTGATACAAAGCTGAAGGATTTCTTCTGTTACCTTTGGAGAAATGGCGTGTTGCAGAGAGAATTTCACCGTAGCTGAATCGAATCAAAGAATTCGCCACCGGAGAAATGCTCTTATCCAGCGACCAAGCCCTTTTCCACTTCGTCTCCTCCGTCGTTCTCCCGTTCTCCTTTAACCCATTCTCCAGATTCACCAGCAGAACCGTCGATGACCCAGAAACCGACAGATTCCGACAAAGTGACGACGACGACGAGGATCCCTCCATTTTCATCTTCTCGAGTTCCACTTGTGAGCACAGACTGAACCTAAACGATGAGTGTACGGAATGTGGATCCGGGTTCATGAGCTCCGGTCCAGTTTCAGCCAAGAGCCACGCCCTGTTCTGGTCGGCGGGCCCGCCATTGTCGCCAGAGCTGGGGAGGAAACAAGAGACACCCAGATCAAATATCATATTTTTCAGAAGGGTTTTGATTCCTGGACCATTGTAACCACTGTTGGGGTCCGAAGCTGAAGAAGAATAAGAACAATGATGGTTTACAGACTCGCCACGGGAATTTGTATCTGGGTTTCGCGGATGAATACACTCTCCTTCATAAAAATCCATGTTTTCTGTGAGCAGAATCTCGAGAAGAGCACAAATACCCAGAATCGCCGAGATGGAAAAGCGGAAAGAAAGTGAGAGAGAGAGAGAGAGAGAGGGAGAAAAAAAATCTCTCCTCTTTGCAAAAGTGGAAGGTGGATTCTTCGAAGCTCTGCTTAATGAGTGGAGAAAGAACTGTTGTTTTTCCTCGTTTTCCAAATAGATGTAGCAATGTATGTTATATGAATTGGAAAGAAGAAGAAGAAGAAGAAGAAGAAGAAGAAGAAGAAGACGAAACTAAATTTGATGGAAACATCTATCTTTCTTCCCTGTATCATTTTTGTGGGTGAGTTCTTCTTGCCCGAGAGAAAAACAGGGGAGGAAAATAATCGCGTATGAATATGATTAATTAGCTTAAAAATAATCAATAGGCTGATTTAATTTAATTAAAATGTAGAAAAGTAATATTATGATTTATTAACTTGAATTATCAGCTTTTGCTAGTAGAAACAAATCGTCATTCTTGTTACGGTTTATAGAAAGAAAAAAAAAAGAAATCAAATTCGGTAGGTAAAATATTAAGTGTCTTAACGTTATAAAGACCACGGAATGGGTAAGTAAATAGCACTTGATTATTATTATTATTATTATTATTATTATTATTATTATTATTATTATTATTATTATTATTATTATTATTATTATTAATAAATGGGACCTACCGATATGGACCGGTCCATGACCCATGTTGGTTAACGAACGAGAGGAGGTGTGTGTGTTGTTTGGAGGTGCACAATACGGCGTCGGATATATCGACACACGAAATACTTCACGGTTGTTCGAATTTATTGTTCTACACAAACCTGTTTTTTAATCATTAATTAATAATCTTTTTTGATGGATGCAACGTCACCTCGCACGTGTACAATGATCCCATACCTTCTCCTCTCTCTCCCTCATGCATTGGATTTGGATCAAATTTGTTCATGCAAAATATAATTAAATATCAATTAAAAAAGGAAATAAAAATATCATCATTCATGAGAATTTGTAAAATAATTTCATAAAAATAAATTTTTATGTGATATTACGATCCGTGAAAAAAAAAAATGTAACAATGTAGAAAGAAGTGTGTGCGCGTTTATATGCGTTTTGGTTTTGGTGATATGTTAGTAGTGGTGATTAATTTTCTTTGCCATAATTAATTTTCTAACAGTAATTAGGGTTTGCCAACAGTTCATATATATTGTCTAAGTTCAGATTGGTTGAGCTGTCATTTTTTTCTTCTGCGTAATTAATTTTGTACGTTAAATTAATACATAATCCACATTAGGTTTTGTTAACTGTCTATCTCTTTGCGTCAAGTTTGTTAACTTGCCTCTTTTAGTTGTCGAAATATCCTTTTCGCAAGTTATGGTTTTACTGTCACTTATTAACATTTTATTGGCCAACAAACCTTATTAAGTATTTTAATGATGATCATGATGATCATGATGATCATGATGATGATGATGATATGATGATGATGAGGATGAGAACAATTAGCAGCCGCAGAAGACTGGAAAGCTAATTAAGATCATTGGAACACAGAAAATTTAAAGTATTCCCAAAAAGTTTTCTAATTAGTGGCAAAACATAAGTAATTAGTATCGTTTACTACTTAATTCCAATTATTTAAATTCTTAATAATGGTATAAATAAATAAATAAAATCGAGAAATATCTTAATGCACATTGGCCAAATCGGGATATTCCCGGCAGCGCCATTGCTAAATTAATATATAGTTAGTCATGTTAATCTCAAAGCACATGGTACATTAATTGTCTAATTATAATTATTTGTGTTAACTACGACTTTCTAAAAATGTTGTTTCGGAAATATATCCTCACTGGCATATGATGTATTAAGACTTGGATAATCTGTTAATATAATGGAAATTACATATAGATGAAATAATTGCTTAAAATTATACTAATTCATTGTCAAATATTTTAAATTTACACCGATTCTTAATATACTAAATAGATCGAAATCATGATAATTATTTATTATACGCTAATTATTTAAATATTCCCATCGTTAGCAATATACAAAACAATCAAAGTGCTTCTTAATAATGATTAATGGTAGAAAGCGATGATATAGAAAATAACCAATTGGTTTTAGTTTGCGTAAAACATATGAATTATAAATATATATTTATTTTAGATAGCAAAGAATTAATGATGTAGTTGTAGATTGATCTGCATTAGACTTATTTTAGACGGAGTTGATGTATTATTTTTCCTTTCGAAATTAAAATAATCACATAGGTATATTCATATTCAGGAATGTAACCACGTATATACATTGTATATATAAGATCTATTCCATTACTGCGTATATAAAATCGATATATATATATATATATATATGTGTGTGTGTGTGTGTGTGGAACATGTTTCAGTAATTTATGTGCTATCATACTTGCAATCTATAGAAATTTCTCTCAATATACCAATAAATCATTTTACTATTAGAAGTACGTTGATCAACAAAAAACAAATAGTTTTGTGTAATGGAATAAAAAATATAATTTTTTTTTTTAAAAAATGGGTTATATTGGACCGGTTCTAAAAATGCCCAATTTATGTAACAACCTATTTGATACTAAGGTACTTATATATATATATCTACACAAGAAGTTCTATCTATTGTATTTAATTATGGTAAATCGAATTTTGGTACGGTTATAACCAAATGGATTCAGAACATATTCAATATTACAAATCTTTATATATATACACACACATCTATTCTAAGTATCCAACATTAGGACCAGACACGTGGCATAGAACTTCACTCTTTGGATACACCTTTCAAAATAGGCTGTAACTTAGTGGGCTTAGGCCCACTAGTCATCTTAAAGGTCCAACTTGAAGTCCACAATGTTAGATTTTGGGCTTCATTGTGGCCCAACAACGTTATGCATATCATTTGACAACATTATTAGCGTTTTGTCTAGGACTGGGCGTTTCGGTTCGGTTCTTCGGAACCGGACCGAACCGAACCGTTAAAACGGTATTTTTTCCGACCCGAAACCGCTGTTATTTTCCGAACGGTACCATTTTTAGAGAACCGAATTTTTCCGGAACCGAACCGAACCGAACTTTAAAAATCCCGGAAACCCGAATATTTTTAAAAGAAATCTATCATTTTTTTAATAAAACCCAGAACCGAACCGAACCGATACCGAAACCGAACCGAACTGAATACAATAAAAAAACCCGATTGGTACCTATTTTTGTAAAACCGAAAGAACCGAACCGATCTATTCCGTCCCGAACCCGAACCGTTTCCCGAAACGCCCACCCCTTTTGTCAAATGATTGGGAATGTGAAATTTCATTTTGTTGATCTATCGATTAGTTATAAATAAAAAATTTATTAGTTTGGTTTTACACAACCCCGAATATGTTTCTGCACTGACCGTGTGGATATTTTCCCTTGTCGAACAAATATTTATACGATTTTGTTTTAGTAAATCAATTTAAGGTTTTTGCATCATAAAGTTTACCTCCGTTGTTATGATATATTCATAAAATATTATAACGCTATGACGTTCATATTATTATTATTATTAAACGTTTTTAAATCCGGTCGACAGTGTATGACATTACACTAACAAAGTTTTATAAGTTTATCTATAAATTATTAGGAACAAATTAAATTCAATAATTAAATGGCCGCACAGTCTGACGTGTCGGTAAGGGAAGGAAAGTAAGACGCAGTTTCAGAACTCATGACAAAGATTTAATTAAAATGTGCAAAAAGAAAAAGAACATAATAAATTGATTGGAGAAAAATAAAATCTAATGGAATCAGAGAAAGACGTGTTAGAATGCGAAAGATACGGCGATGCTTTCGGGTTTTTTTTTTCCTCTCATTTCTTACATTTTCTTAGTCTCACTCTATTAAATTTGACATTTCTGCCAGCTGACAATCCCAATGATCTTACATATACATATACATATACATATACATATACATATACATATACATATACATATACATATACATATACACAGTTGCACTACAAATACAAGTGGATGTGTAAATATACACAATTGGAATCACGTTCATTAATATCGGCAATCAATGTCAATGGAGATAATAAATTATGATGCATAATTAATTCATATTCATGACAACAGATTTATACATTTTGTTTTTTTAAGTTTTGATTTAGTTCAAGGGTGTTTTGCTTTTAACCTTTGAGTTCAAATGTTCCATTGATTTTAAAGATAGGAGTTATGACGCGAAAATTCTCAACGTGCATCTCACTCGAATTTAAATATATATATATATATAGGTTAATTAAACTAAGAAATCTGAACTTGTAATTGGATCATACAAAGTTTTCATGTCACATTAAAAAGATCGAGGCTATAATAATGTCACTACCGGAAGAAAAAAATAATGTCATTTATCTCCTTTTTGATCTCCTTTTTTGTAAGGATATTTTACATTTATAAAATTTACCGTTTACCAAAAAAAAATAATGTCATTCTAGCTCCTTTTTAAAAGGTTTAAATTTAAAAAGAAAACATAAAGCTACGTCATCACCTTGTAAAAAATATCATTACACGACCGCTTATATAAACCCTAACTCAACCACACACACATGCACCTCTCTCTCTCTCTCTCATCCCAATAGACAACCTTTAACCACTTCCCACTTATTCTGTCAACACAAATATTAAACCACTTCCCAATTCTCACAAAACACCAAAACTACGTGTATCTAAAGTTAATGGCAGCCCTTAATGACCATTCCGATGTAATTACCGACCCTAATTACGTCTCTAAGCCAAACTCCTCCAACGACATCTCCTCCCCAGAGGATTACCCCGAGGGAGCTTACGCTTCGAGCGGTAGCTACAAGATGAATTCCGACCATCAAGGATTTGTATTCCACCCTTCGGACCAATCTGTTCACGAACATTCTTTGATAGACTTCAACGGATCGTTTCTTAACTTCGTTCATCAGCCGAGCTTCGACCCGGTTATGGAGGGCAACAACATGAACTATGGCTACTCATCAAGTTGGAGCAATCATCAGATTGGTAGCCCTAATCCCTTTGAAAAAACGAGCAGTTTCACATTGGAAGCCAGTTCTAGAAGTACAACCACGAGCCATGACCATGGAGATTGGTTATACTCCGGTTCAAGGCCGGTCTCCCCGTCTCTCAAATCAGATGGAAACAAACGTCCTTACACGGTGATTTCGCATTGAAAATCGATTCTTATCAGTAATAACTTTGTTTAAAGCACATATATTATATACTCTAAGTAGAGATCAATTGGATAGTGTTTCTTTCATGGCATTTTGGACTTTTACATGCTAACTTTCATGTCATGGAAATTAATGAGGATACAACGTTTTCATTTGACAGGGAGAGAGCGCTCAAGCTTCGAAGAAGCCATGCGGTGGTTCGAACGTGAAGGCTAAACCAAAGGCAACATCTTCGGCAAAAGATCCGCAAAGCGCTGCAGCTAAGGTCTGTTTCTTGTTCAATTGTGGTTATCTTAGATGCTTATTTGTTGTTTTGATTTTACATCGATCAAAGAAGAGAGAGAATCGAAAGAAAGAACTCGTAATTCTCGTGTTATCTGAGATGATGAATACATACTTTTCTCCTTCAGAATCGAAGGGAAAGGATAAGCGAACGTCTCAAGATATTGCAAGAACTGGTCCCCAATGGAACAAAGGTCCTTACATACATACATACATACATACATACATACATACATACATACATACATACATACATACATACATACATACATACATACATACATACATGCATGCATATATACATACATGCATGCATATATATATGTACGTATGTGCATATGTTCATACACACATACGTACTCTATTACAAGATATTATCATGAATATCTATATAGTCATTACGATTCTACGTACATATTGCTCTGTTTTTTCTCTCTCTATATTTGTAATTACAGAACTTGTTATAATATGTCGTAATATATATTTTTTTTTGTTAACGGTAGATGTATAGTAATCCAAACCTTTTACAACCATAATTTAATCCAGAGTTTAGAGACAAAAAAAACAAGTCAGACATATTAAAGAGAGCAAATATATGTCGTAATATATTCATTTGCCGCATGACATATATTTTAGTTGTATCGGTTTAATAAACCGTGTAAATTTCGGCGGCGATTTTGTAGGTTGATTTGGTCACTATGCTCGAGAAGGCCATTAGTTATGTCAAGTTTCTTCAACTACAAGTTAAGGTATGGACCGTTAATTCAGACAAACATTCCAACAATTTAGTTTTCTGGATTTGAATTTAGGGTTTTAACATAGTTTTTGGTGTATATATATGTATATATAATGGTGCAGGTTCTGGCGGCTGATGAATTTTGGCCCTCACAAGGAGGGAAAGCTCCTGACATTTCTCAAGTAAAAGAAGCCATTGATGCAATCCTCTCATCACAACAACGAGACAAGAACTCAATTCCCAAATCAAATTGAATTTTATCATAAATTATTTAACATTGTGTAATAATTTAAGGATAATGAGAACAGTAATTCTCTAGATAACTTCGACTACTCATAATATTATGTGACTTTATATATATGGTGTCGAGGAATTCCTAATACATTAATATCTCCGGTAGCATATTAATTGAGAGTTTGATTTTACCGATGATGGAATCTTCATTAATAGATAAAAGAAAATGTATTTTTTTCTTTTTTAATATTCTGTTTTTTTTTTGTTAGAGATATTCAAATGGAATTTCATTTATCCAGGAAATGTGTATGGAATTCTGAGATTTTTGTCTTTCTGAATTTCAGTCACTGTCGAATCTCCCTGTCTTGTCTTTTCTCAAACCTCTTTATTTTCCATGAATTTCGCTTTTGTCTTTTTTAGCAGTCTCTAACATATTTTTATAAGTATTTAACAAAAAAAACATATTTATAATTATAAAACCATGGACTGTTTACGATATACGTGCCAACAATGACATTATATCCCTAACACCCAGACTATATACTATCATGTATGCATATACCATGCACGCACATTCACTTAAAATATATAAGCTCATATACATACGATATTCCATTAAAAATGTACACCATGGATATGATACTATGCATGTATTATGCATTCATGGACATATCAACAAAAATATGCTCTCGTACATGCATTGCCCGACGAATGTACATCCATGTAACTATATTGGACCACTTATTTCAATGAATCGTAATATAACTATACTTATACTAATATTCTGAAAACTTGATTAGGTAATACATACAATTTAAATTATATTGTTATCCTCTATTTTCTTCGATTTATGGTGTCTTTATACCCTAATGTGTATAAATTTTAGAATCCGTTACTCTCTGTATCCCCTTAAAATTCCTACTATCAAATGACTAAAAAAATCTACATATGTGTTTTTTTTTCATTTTATATATTTTATTAAGTGTACAGCTATAAACTCTAAAAGTGATACACATATATGAACCATGCATTCGTGTTAAATGTGTATACATATGCATACACACATCGATCGGCATTTCGTATGGTTGTAGCCGTAAAATATTCCAATACAATTATTTAATTTTCTTATAATTATTGTGACAAAATTTTAGTACAATTGGAACCCGACACTAACACGTGTCCTATTCTCAGTGGAAAAAAGAAAAAAATGTTTTTGAAAATCTCTTTTAGTTGCATTAGTTGTAATAGAATAGAATATTAAATTTGCAAACTATATAAAAGATGTCATTGACCTCACCGATTAAAGAAGACGAACCACACATATGTTTTTTAATTCAATTTTTTAGTATTTTTCAATAAATTATAATTTTAGTTATTCCATTGGAAGACAGAGTTAAGATCTCGATCATCATCCAAGGTCAACATGTCCTTTGGGTAAAATTAGGGATACGTGCTTTGATTATGTAATAACGTTATTATTCTTTTAAGTTATTATTATATCTATACATACTTATATATTATTAAATTAATTAGTCACATGATTAGCCACATGGAATAATCCCTCTTTAAGCGCTGTACTTGTATCTGTGTACTTGCAAGCTCCATTAAGTGGACAAGACAAACGAAGTTATTGGCAGTCCCTAACAATGTTTTTTTTTTGTAATTTATACAAAAAAAAACTCTTATAACTCCATACTCTATCTCTTTTAGTGACATTATTATTAGTAATTATTAGAAAATAGGAGAGATTAACCCCAAAATTTTATTAGTGGACATAAAAATATATGAATTGTCCATAAAGTGATATTTAGGATATGTATTTCCATAAGAACATTGTTTGGACCGCTATAACTAAGTCTGTCTCTTCAAACATTATGTTTTGAAATATCTACCATTTTGCATATTTCATGGTTCAAATACTTCATTTTAGCCATTTCGCACAAATTCATTTTTTTTCGTATTTCTAACATTATGATCATATTCGTTGGTAAGAAATTAAAAAATTATTTTTGTAATTTTATGGTTCAAGTATTCGGCTAGAGGATTTCAACTAGTGGTTTAATATTCATTTCATGTTTTTTTTTTGTTAAAAGTATTCATTCCATGTTTTGTATTGTATGGGTTGAATATTTCAGAAAAAAAGTCAAATTGGTTTGTAGTAGAAATTCATCTTGCAAAACCGGTTAAATCGGCGTAGAGTTCATAAAACATATTTTCTCTTAATCAAACAACCTAATAATTTCTATATAATTTTAGAATAGAATACTAGCTGCGTCATCATTTGATTAATTTTATCTAGGATATTCCTTGAGAGGATCCTTTTGTTCTATTGGTCAATCTTTTTTCATTAATACATATATTTGTATGTCTCCATATTTAGGAACATGCACGTAATTTTGTATGATTTTCACTGGCTAGATGGACCACTCATGCATATACTTATTTTGGTATAACTCATGCATTTTTTTTTATATAAAAATAACTTTCATTATTTATGGATAATTGTTCGTAATACTTTTATTTTGGCCAGCAATTATCTGTAACGTTTATGTTTTCTCAGGAAATTTAATTTCTTAAATTAGTTTAGCAAATCTCGAACATAATATATATGAAAAGCTATATATGTCGTCATGACAGTTGTGCCATCTATGATTTGGCTAGGGCTTTCCCATCAAGTTGACGACTAGAGATAAGTGTTACATTCATTTAAAATAATCATATAAATTGCATCGAAATGTACCATACTTGAATTGGAAATTAAAATTTTCAATGTAAATTTGATATTAGTATTTATCTATGTTGTGTAAACGTTAAAGTTATTAATGCAAAATATATATGGTGATAAAAATTTAAATATTAGAAAGTTTAAGATGCACAGTTTCCTAGACGTACATAAATTTAAAAATTTATCATTAATGCTTCAGAATTTAAATTACCATTTGATTCCATGTGATATATATATGCATATACACACACTTTGCTAGTTCGCTATACGAAATTTTCTAATAACGATCAAACACATCAATAATATAGTGTACTGAATAAAAAGGAAAATTACAAGTATTATCACTCATCCTCCTATTGCTATTGCAAGCTACCATCTACCACACTTGGCGGGAGCGTAACCTGCGGTTGCACCAACAGCATTCTCGCCCTTCGTCCATAGTGGCCAAGGAGATTCTAGCCTCAACGCGTAGCAGACTATCAAGCATCCGAGCTGAATGGAGACCTGCAATTGCTGAAGATTCGTTGCTCACCTACTGGTTTCGATATTTTGAAGCTCTATAGTCCGTTTACTTTTGTATTAACCTGGGTTTGTTGTCTTACTTCGGTTTGTTGTAATGGTTCATCGCCACTAACAAAACTTGTGTAATCATTGCTTCATATATATATACAGAAGAATATTTACGGTTAAAAAAAAAAAGGAAAATTACAAGTAGATAACTTGAAAACTATACCTCCCCAATGTAATTTTAAGAGAACGATTGACGGTAACGTTAATCATATTTATTCAATATTGAACGTCTCAACCGGTAAAAGATAGGGCAAAACTCTTTCCTAAACCATATTTGAGTTTTCACTTGAAAAATGATATTTTCTTGTGTTTCTCCGATCTTCTGCACGTCCACAACGAAGATTATTTGATCACACAATAACGCCATATTTTTTGGATTAATATATATTTGAGCATTAAATGGATTAATTTAAAAAGTGGGTTTTTTTGTTTTTACTATTTATTTATTAATGCGCGGAAGAATTTTTTATTTTAATCAAATAAATGAGCAAAATTTTCAATTAAATGGAAAAACTTGTATTCACTAATTGCAATGATATTTTATAATGTGTCAAATTAAGAAAAATCGCATCGTAATGGTTTTTTAAATACACGTAAAGAGGGGACCATGCATGTTGAATAATTAGTGTGACTGGAGTGTATATAATCAGATTCACATGGCTAACCACAGAACAAAATGATTGTGTATATCTATAGCCTCGATTAATGTGGATGGTCCAAATTATTTAATATTCGTGTTATTGTCGTCGTTATTAGTATTAATGGTTTCTGTTAATTTTCTAGTTACATTATTTAGTTAAGTACATGGTATTCATTCCAACGTTATTGACGTCTTTCAAAATCGAAACACTTCGGTATATTTTCCTGCTAATTATACCATTCATAAGAATCAATATATAACTTAACGACCCAAGTTTGAACTATAAGATAAAACCATACATGGATCCATGTATTGTAGCGGAATAATTTTAAGAACAAAAAATCTTCTAGAGTTTTCTTTTTTTTTCCGTATTATAAATTTTTTCATAATTGACAGAAATAATGAACTATAATATTACTTTTATAAGGCGTAGAAATCCTGGTTTTATTATGGTAAGGAGAGAAGAAACTTCCAATAATATCAATGGACTTTAATTCTTTAATGAATTCTTATTCATCAAATAACCAAATTAATATCAAAACCTGAAAACCCAAATTACATATGAGCCGCACAATAATACATTTCTTATATAAACGACATATAGTGGTAAGAAAACATGCAAAATATGTTTTTATCTGAGTTTAAATTCAAACTTGGGAGAGATATTCACTCGAACTTCTCCGATCATTTAAGAGATGTAGTTGGACCAAAATCTTGGTGAACTTCGAGATTATTAATATAACTTAATGTATTACTTTTTTTTTTTTTTGAGAAATAAGTCTTTACCTTATTTAACTTTATTTTTCCAAAACAAACGTAAGGTAGAATTTTCTATCTGTTACATCTTGTATTTAAGTCTATGAGTTTTTATTTTTAGAAATTTATTCTAAAATAGAATTAGACAAGACACAAAAATAGTAGAGTAGGGGCTGATCTAGCCAAATTTTATGTGTGTGTGTGTGTATATATACATATATATATATATTAATGAATCATATATCTCCTTTAAGAATTGTAGAAAAATTTATGTACATGTCATAGAGAACGTGGCAAGCAGAACATTATTACGTTGATGAAAGTTCCTATGTAGTTTCATGATATTAAAATCAAATTTCGTTCTAATTTTTCCATCAAATTAATTAGTATGTTTTTTTAGTAAATCGGATTTTGCAGATTGTTATTTGAAAACAAAATCGTTACTTCGGTCGTGTTCGGCTTTGT